GGAGGGGAGGAGGAGGAGGAGGGGAGGAGGAGGAGAAGAAGAAACACGCACACAATGACCAGGGTAAAATTCAAAACTAACTGGCATTTGAATAACCACGAACATCTCAGTCATATAAGGCAATCAATTCAACACAGTAAATACAATAACAGATGTTAGAATTATCTGATGAAGACTTTAAATTGTTATAAAAATACAAATAAGCACTGGTACTCTTAAAAGAAGCATTAGAAGAGAATGTATCAGTGAGAATATAGAAGGTGCAAAAATAAGCCAAATGGATACTTGAGAACTAAACTGGGCCTGGGAAAGCCTCACTAGACTGACTGAAGGGTAACATGGAGATCAGAGTCAGGGAACTTGAAGATGGATGAATAGAAATCACCCAATCTGAGCAACACAGAGAAAAGATATTGTAGCCACAGATGAATAGCCTGTCACGAACTTGTGGGGCAATGACAAAAGTTTATACCACTGGAGCTACAGAATGAGAAGACCAAGAATGAATGGATGAAAAAAGTATTTGAATAAACCATAGCAAAAACTATTCCTAGTGATCAAAGAATGTTGAGTAAATCACTAACAAGAAAAATCCAAAGAAGTCAGGATTAAAACTTGTCATAACCAAAATTGCTGAAGTCAAAGAATCTTGAAAGCAGACAGAAAAACCAAGATGCATGAATTCAAGGGTAACAATGATTTGAATTACTAGAGATTTCTCATGATAAACCATCAAGACCAAAAGAAAGTAAGTGGAGCATCTTTAACATGCTAAAATAAATGCATTATCAAACTGTAATTCTGTACATAGAAAATATGACTCGGGAATGATCTATCATTTAGGAATGTCGGTGAAATAAAGACATTTTTAGATGAACAGAGCTGCTCTAAAATAAAGGAAGTTCCTCAGAGAAAAATATCATAAGGAAAGGAACCTCAGGATGAAGGAAGAGCAAGAGAAATGGTAAATTAACAAAATGTTCTCTTTGCCTTTCATGATAGAATAACAAGAATTATGAGATTTTCAGTGTATGTACATGTAGCATAGAAGACAACTGGAAGCCAGGTGTGGTGGCACACACCTGTCATCCCAGTGGCTCAGGAGGCTGAAGCAGGAGGATCACAAGTTCAAAGCCAGACTCAGCAAAAGTGAGGCACTAAGCAACTCAGCAAGATCCCGTCTCTAAATAAAATACAACATAGGGCTGGGGATGTGGCTCAGTGGTTGAGTGCCCCCAAGTTCAATCCCCAGTACAAAAGAGAAGACAATCGGAACATGAAGCAGGGAGGACAAAGAAACCAACGAGGTAGCCAGGTTGCATATTCCAACTCAAGTGGTGAAATATTATCTTAAAAACACTGAGAAAAGCATTTTATAATCCAAAGAGCAAACACTAAAAAAAAAAAAACTATACAAAGAGATAGTTTAAAAAAAACAGTAAATTAAAAAAAATGTAATACTAAAAATACTCAAGTAGCTTTATAAAAGGCAGCAAAAAAAAAAAAAAAACAAAAACAGAGAAAGTAGGGAAATGAAAACACTGGAAACAAACATGTAAGAATTATATTAAATGAAAATGATCTACCAGTCAGAATGGCAGCTATCAAGAATACAACCAACAATAAATGTTGGCGAGGATGTGGGGGGAAAGGTACACTCACACATTGCTGGTGGGACTGCAAATTGGTGCAGCCAATCTGGAAAGCAGTATGGAGATTCCTTGGGAAACTAGGACTGGAATCACCATTTGACCCAGTTATCCCTCTCCTGGATCTATAATCAAAGGACTTAAAGCAAATTCTGACATATTTCAATGCTATAAATCCAACAGAATATACCACAATCTCTAATGATAACAACTATAAGATGCAGATGAAAGAAAAACCAAATAAATGAAAATACTGTGTTCAAAAATTGGAAGGCTCCATACAATAGATATTAATTCTCACAAAATATGGTTTAATGAAATTCTTATCAAAATACCATTAGGAATTTTTGTAGATATAGAATAACCAATTCTAAAATTTGTATGGAAAGGCAAAGACCTAGAATAGCTTTAACAATTTTGAAAAATCAGAATAAA